AGAACCGTTTATATTTGAGTTTGTTGAGTTTGTTATTTCTGTAAAAAAAATACATCTATCGGATAACAGATACTATGTATTTGGATCACTTTTGTCTAAAAAAAAAAATGAACTTTATTTTTTCTTCACAAATGTAAAATATAGATAGAGAGGTCCGGATTGTCTCCAATCTAGATCTGGAATAGTCCAACCCATTGGCTCACTTTTGGACCCCTTTTCAACAATCAGAACCGTTTATATTTGAGTTTGTTGAGTTTGTTATTTCTGTAAAAAAAATACATCTATCGGATAACAGATACTATGTATTTGGATCACTTTTGTCTAAAAAAAAAATGAACGCTTAAAAAATTAACAGTTCATAAAAAAGTGATTCAAATACATAGTATTTATTATCCAATCGACGTCATTTTTTTTACAGGGATAATGTACTCAACAAATTCTAAAATGTGAACTGTTTAAATTATAAAAAAAAATTCCAAAAATGAGCCTAATAAACCAAACTGGACCCCAATCCGGATGGTGGACCAGAGGCAAGCCACAGCCATTTCAATTTCTTTTGGTAGTTGAGTTCACTTGATGAGCTTCCTTTTTCAGTTACTGGTGGTTGCACCAACCGCCAAATCTTTAGTCTCGTTAATTTTGATGTATACTATTTTATATAAAAACTTATATTTTTTTAAATTGATTTTATATAGAAAAAAATACTTTTATTTTTATTTTTTTAATTTTTGGTTGACACTTAAAATAAAAATATTTTATTACTTATAAGAAAAATTTTGATTTAATAAAATGTTATTTATGACCTTTTAGTAAGTTAAGATATTTATTTGAAAACATTAAATGTATTAGAAAAGTAATGAGTGAGAGTCAATTTTGTAAAAATTAACTTATGAAATTTTTAAAAGTAAGTCATTTTAAAAAAAATTATACAAAAATATTTTTTTAAAAAAATGTTTTACATACTTTTTATTCAATCAAATAATAGAAAATGAGTAAAATATTTTTGATAAAAATATTGCACGTAAAAACAAACGGAGTCTAAGGCCTTGTTTGTCATGTACTAAAAAAGTTAAAAAGTTAAAAAGTCACTATCCTATTTAAATCACATCATCTTATTTAATTCATATCATCTCTCTACCCCATCACTTCAAACCCAACCCAAACCCAACCTATATCTCATAAAAAATCAAAAAATACACTTATTTAAAACATCCCAAATCACCCCTAAATATCTGACTCAATTGATTTGTGCCGTGTGTACAAATTTACAGTTTAAATATTTATTTTTGTTAGTATTTAAAAATTCTAAAATATACAATTTAAAGTGGTGGTACTTGTTTGCCATCACACTCATTATCTTTTTCTTTTTTTTTTGGATATATATATATATATATATATTTATTTTTCAATAATTAAGGGAGTAATTATATATATAAATATATTATATACTACTAACCATTCTATAAGAATTGAACTTACAAGCTCACGTCAAAAAATAACATCACAACTATTAAAACTTGTTAAAAGATTATTTTGCTCTTAAAATAACAAAAGTATCTTGTATGTAATAAAGATTTTTGTATAATTTTACAGATTCAATTTTTGTTAATTCTTATCATCACACTAATGCACAAAAATAGAATGGGCCATATTTATTCTATGAATTAGGTTGATTATAATTGTGAGTATAGTATGATTGAGTGATGTGATTATTAACAAATATATATATATATATATATATATTGATTTAGAAAATTATTTTTAACTCCAAAAAAGATAGAATTAAATGGAAATAATGATTTTTATTAATATTTTTTCATTTTTGTGATTTTTTTTTTTAAAAAAAAAAACTCAAACCAAATAAGGTGCTAATTTTTTTAACTCTTTGACTAAAACAATCTGTTTCCAAACTAGACCCAAATTTTATATGAATTGAAAATATTAAAGGAGTTTAATATAAATTATAAGAGAAATGCGTGAGAGCTCGAAATTGCAACAGCTTGAATACCCTGAATGCCAAAACAACGTCGTTTTGGCTAAATTTTTTTTTTTTTTCTCATTTATATCTAAAACAAAAGGGGAGAGCAAGAGAGAGAGAGAGAGAGAGAGAGGGAGAGAGGGAGGGAGAAAGAGAGAAGAGAGACAGAAACAGAGAGAGAGGCGACGGAGATGGCGGGGCGATGGTGATAGAGGGTTTGCGACGGTGATCTTGCAACGGTGAGCGACGGTGATGGCGCCACTTTCAGACTCTGTTTTCTCTATTTTTTATTTTTTTTTTGGCTCTGAAGATGACGATGATGTATTGTTGATGAAGATGTTGATGAAGATTTTGTTGGCTGATGATGATGTGTTGGTGAAGATGATGTTGGTGAAGATGTTGATGATGATGATGTGTCTTTGTGTTCACCAACGACGAGCTTCTTCTTCTCTCCTCTTCTTCCTCTTCTTCTTCAATCTTTAGATCTCCAGACAAATGAGAAAGAAAAAAAAAACAAAAAATCAAAACATCATTTTGATTTTCGGGCCAGTCGAGCCACAAGCATTTCGAGTTACGTAGCGGGGTTGAAATTATAATTATATTGAACTTATGAAGTTACTGTCCTGCTTGGTTTGGCCCACATTTCAAAAAACCAATTTTTTTTTTCTTATTTTTTAAATGTACCTAACTTAAATATACTTATAAAGTATAATAGCTATGAATTTTTTGAAAAAAAAAAAATCATCAAATACAAAAAAAATACAAAAATTCAACATATTTTCATAATCTTGTGTATTTATTAAAATTTTTAAATATTTTTTCATAAATATTTTATTTTTTAAATATGTATATATATATAATATAAAAAATTATTTAAAATATTAAAAAAATTCACTAAAAATAAAAACAACTCAATTTCTAGAAAATCAATCAAAACCACGCAAAGGATTCACAATGTAATTTATCCTAAATTAAATGATGATTGAAGAATGGTGGTTGATACATAGATGAAAAAAAAATTACATAGAAAATACATCATTGTTAAAGTACCTGAACTAAACAGTTTCAACACAGTCTTTAGTAAACACTTACGTAGGGATGGCAATTTGAAACCGGTCCGACGGGGCCCCGACCCCTCGACCCTGATTAGAGCGATTTTTTCCTAAAAAATATCCCCAACGAGCCGGGAATGGTACTCAAAAATAAATCCCCGATGATTTTCGGGCCAAGGATGGTGATATGTTTTTCACCCCCGGCCCCGGCCCTAACCCTGTTAGCCCCCCAAATTAAACTTACTATATATACCCCTTAATATAACTAGTGATGGCAATCGGAACCCGACCCAACGAGGATCCGATCCCAAATTGAGCGGTTATTCCTCGAAAAATATTCCTGACGAGTTGGGAATGGCATTAAAAATTGAATCCCCAATGATATTCAGGCTGGGGACAGGATACATGTTTCAACCCCGGACCTGGCCCGATCCTCGTCCCGTTTGCCCCCGACATAAAATTACTATTTTGCCCCTGTTTATATATATAATATATACATATGTGTGTGTAGGGTTTGGTTGAACATTCACAAACACAAAGTTGCCTCTGCTCATGCTCTCTCTCTTTGAACAAGGGCTCGCATGATTCCGACTTTGTTGCGCTCTATCTCAGTGTTCTCCAAGCTGCTATCTTGAGCAGCAGCCTCATCTGCAGACTGAATGTCTCCAAATACTTAACCCATTTTCTTCAACAAAACCAATCTCAATCTCAATCTCAACCCAAATTTGGATATGGAGGAGGATGATGAGGATACATATTAGATTAATATGTATTCGGATATCCTAACATCGCACATATGTTATGTTAGGAAAACGTAGAGAGGAGATAACCGACAAATTGATAGATGAAAATGAACTTGGACTCCACTAGTACATAGTCGCCTCATCTGCTTTTTATTTTTTATTATTTTCATTTGCTTTTTTATTATGTCTAAATGCAGAACATCCAAGACCTTAACATACACAACATTCTAGATGAATGCTATCATGGCATGGATGCTACGAAGACCACAACTGGTAATACGAAGTTGCCATTGAGCTTCAGGAAATTAGGCGAGACTGAAAGACAGTCTTTCGGTGTTGTTGAATATCAGATCTGGAGCTGAATTTTTTTTTTTTGGCCGGGGAATTTTCGGGGTCGGGGAAACCCGATCCCCGTTAGGGGGCGAGGGCGGGGGCGGTGATAGGTGCCCCGTCGGGGATTGGGGCCGGGGACGGGGAGTGTGATCCTCTGTTCTGTCTCTCTTTCTCACTCTCTCTCTTCCCTCTACGCTCTCTCACTCTCCACCTCTCCTCTCCTCTCTCTCACTCTCGCACCTCTCCTCTCCGCCTCCTCAGCGCAGCCATCACTGTCTGCGACGCCGAAGTCACTGTCCACCTCGCACTGCCGCTTCACTTCAATCGACTCCGCCATTTGCTCCACCTCCATTGCTGCCCTCTTTCTTCCTGTCCGTTGAGTCACTATCGTCGCAGTCACACAGAGATCTCAGATCTGTGTTGATCTCCTTCGTCGTCGCCGCCGATCCGCCAATCTCCTTTGTTATCCTCTCTCTCTCTCTGTGTATACATGTATGTGTGTGTCTCTCTGTGTATGATTTTTTGAGGATGTTGCTGATGATGTTGAGAGTTGTTGTTGATGGTGTCGAATGTTGAAATAGATTTGGATCGGGAAATTTTCGGAGTCGGGGAAACCCGATTCCCCTGGGGGTCAGGAACGGGGATCGTGATAGGTTCCCCATCAAGGATCGGGGTCGGGGACGGGAAAGTTTTGGCCATCGAGGATCGGGGACGGAGAGTGGGATCCCCGGCCCCGCCCCGTTGCCATTCCTACACTTATAGGGTAAATCTGCATAAAATGCACTTTCAATGTGGTAAAATAGCACAAAAATACATCTCATGCTATGATCTCACAACCCATTGTCCAACCAAAAACAAAGTCCACGGAATCAACATTACTTGAGGCAACTTTATAGAAATCGAAATAATAATCATAATAATAATCCTCAAATATTGATTGAATATAATTTATCACATCAACAAAAAATGAAGAAAAAAAAGAAAAAGAAAAAAGAAAAGTTACAGAAAATAGTTGGGTATTGTCTGGGAAGCTTGTATGGCTTTGTTGCAGGGCATATGTTATCATTTTATTCTATTAATACATGAACTCTCATTATCACCCCCAAAAAAACAAACAAATGAGAAGAAGAAGAAGCTCATGTCAAAATTCTTCATGAAAAACACTTGAATTGGAAATCAGCTGTATGGAATAGCCAATATATATATATTAATCAAGCTGGTCAACATCACCTCTTAATCGGCTTATCGGAGAGTATGTGGTAGTTCAAGTTCTACCATATAGATCTCCTCTTGATGGCTTTCATCCATTTCTGCAATGTTTCTCCTTCAAGCATGATTAATCACTGTTCAGTTCTCAAGCTTATTCCTCTGGATACAACTAGCACAAGCAAAAAGTTTTATTTGCATTAAATCACTGACGGCAAGTTTAAATAAGAAAATATTAATTGTGAAAACGAAGCCGCCAAACATAAAATATGGTAGTTTTCCATGATAATATGTAACACATTCTTTACCTAGTTTAGGCACCATAAACATACTAGCTATGTTTGTCTGAAGCTGAAGCTATCTAGAGTCCGCAAACATGATAGCATTTCGTATAAACTACAATAAAATTAAAAATAAATAAATAAATCAATACAACACCAACATGTTGGAGTCCAAATACATTACAAAAGCACTATAATGACCAATTTTCACTCCTTAAGCGCCTAGCTGCAAGATTCCCACAATAAAGGAAATACAAATGCCACATTTCAAACTCAGATATTGAGTTGCAATAGTGACGCAATGAGGGAATTGAGTGTGAAGGGTATACGACATATAAGGATTGGGTTATAATACGAGAAGAAAAAGCGTAACATTTGATGTCGGAAAAGTTTTTTTTTTTAATTTATTCCCCTTTGCACAACACAGCTTCACAATAGACCCGGTTGAGAGAACATATCACACTAACATCAAACGGAAAACATACTAAGCATAGCATCAGGAAATGGCTACAACTGAAGGAAACAATTTATGAAGTAGAAAGAACAGCACAAAGAAATGACTGAATATTGGAACACAAAATAAGAGAATCTTGTATGGAATTCAATTGGGTCGTCATTATATGGGATTTCAATAGAGTTGTCATTACATGGACCGTGGAAGACCATATTTAGAATGACCGCCCAAACCTAAACTCCTCTTAACAAATTTCATGTTTTCCTACCATTCAAACCTACTTTTTTGCTGAAAAGCCTGCTGTCGCCCCATATATACTTTGTAAGTTTGTATGTGCGATCTTTCAATCACTTCAAGGTTTGGCTGATTATTGAAACCCTTGCAACAACGACGACAACAACAACAACAACAAAAAAGACCACTAAAAGTATATATCTCTTGTGCATAAACTGTTTACATTCCTTAAATGCAGTTATCATGTGCGGTTAAATAGTTTCATTGTGTCTTAAGAAGTAACCCTCGAAGAACAACCTTTCCACCTATCCATTGAAAACCTATATGTGATCTTTCACTGAAGCCTGAATGCTCACACCCCCATCCAGAGATGATTTCCAACCATAGAGGTTACTTCATCTAAAAAGAAGCTCAATAAGCTGCTGTTCTACTCAAGAAGATAACTCAATATCAGTAATAGTTTGCACCTAGAAAGGAATCTTTTTTCGGGGATATGTAAAGCAATATGTATTAAAACTAAGAAAGCATAAAAAAAGGGAAGCTACCCATGAAAAAATGGTTAATCCATGATTTACCTATACAACAATAAAAGACGCCTACACACTCAAAAGACTAAAAGGCCCATATGTTCATACAAATGAATTGAATCAACAAAGTTGATAAAACGACCTAGATTTGGCGTACCTATCCTGAAACCCAACTACACAAAATGGGGAGAAAAAAAAAACCCCTCTATTAGAATAATTTTCCAAATAGATGGACAGGAGAACCATACTTGTGACACAACAGATTGTGTGTGGAAAGGCAGGTTAGAACCCCAACCTCAGGTGCTCAGATCCAATGAGATGAAAGATTTACAGAGGAGAGAATTCAGAATTTTGCAAAGAGAAACTGGTGTGCTTCAAATCAACTGAAATTAATGGGAATTTTGAGGATGTACAACATGATAAAGTCCTTACATAACAATTGAACACACAAAGAGACTGCATTGGTGCCCAAAATTATTATAAACAATTTTAAACTTTGATAGTAATTTGGGATCTGTAATGGGAGGCCTACACTGTAAATAAAGCACAAGAGTTTGGAATATAGATCCAAGGAGCTTGGCAAAATTCAAGCAAAAATAGACATGATCATCGTGAAGACTTGATTCTAAATATGGTATGAGAACCAGTATAGGTCCCTAGGATGATACAACACTTGGTGTTTGTTTGAATGGACTGGATAAGGGCGGACTGCAATACAATGGACTGTTAGTCCTAAATAAATAGTCCTTGGACTATTTGGTTAAATGATGCGTATTTGACTATTCGTTTAGCCTTCACTAAACTAACCAAACAATGGATTAATAAATTTATTGGACATGAAGTCCGATCCCACACCTCAATCCCATCAAACAAAAGTTCAGCAAGAAGCAGCTTGTATTGGGTTACATCCACTGATTAGGCTTTTGAGTTTCAAAAGTTCAAAAATGACAATTCCTTTTTGTAGATAAGTAGTCTTAACTAAATGGAGAGCAGTCTAATTTACCAATGCTTTGCCCAGATATACTTGATAACAAAGAATTCTGGTTGAAGCAACTAGTAAAACAATCCTAGAATAAGATGCTGGAAATACTGTCAACTAGTTACTAGAGGAGAAACAAATGCAGCAACTATACACACACATATCACAAGAACGTATTCCGTAATAGAGATAATCTTTGATGGCCATTATCGAGAGAGAGAGAGAAGTTTTAACAGCAATAAATAAAAATGTAACAACAAATTGAGACAACCAAATAATACTAAGATTCTCATCTTCAACATTCTAGATTTGTAAAATCGAGATATCATATCAGATGACTTGAACAATTATCAAAATAGCACAATTTAAATTCTACATGCAGAGTTATTCTTGTATGTAGTTCATACCACCATATACAACAGCAACCTATAAACAGTGTTACATGGATTCTTCTATTCCCCCAGTGTGCGTGTCCAACAGATATGACAAGGATACAGGACATGTGTTCAACACCCATACCCACATTAAACATTTTAGATTCTTTATTTCCTTTTATAAGATGTTTGAAGAAGAAAAAACTCACATTTGATAAGTGGGAAAATAATGCAGCCTCTCATATGGATGGGACATAGAAACCCTCTTATTTCCTTAAGTCCTATTTAATTTCAATATTTAATTTCAAGTACATTCCTAAATAATAACATTGAAATATTATACACTGTAGAATATAGTTAAATGTTCAAAATGTGTCCACCTATCCATGCACTATATCATATGATTTAAGGTTTAAGGAGGTCTAACGGTTGAACATAACATACACCCATATTGGATGTTTGTAACCGATTCCATGTAACATCGCCTATAAACTCAAAAGACCCATTCAAATTATTCTTTTGGATGCAGTCAAATTGTGGTCAAATAATTTTTCTCAACAGAACTCAAGTCCTAAATGCAAAGATGCATACATGACATATGTACATAATTAAACAACCTCAACATAATTAAGATAGCATAAGGAGCTATGTTCAATATGTACAAAACACATTTAGATCTTCAGAAAATTCAAAACATGAGAAAGAAACAGCTTAGTGAGGCCCTTTTCATTGTAAACCACAATTATACAAACCACCAATGATTAATCTTAAAAAATAAGCAACTTGGGAGTTGGGACAGGTTACTAAAGAAAAGAGAAAATGGATAGAGTTGTTAACAAAGAGTGGTTCACAACCAAGAGAGACCCCCAATGGGTGATTCATTTGTCAATTCAGTAAAAGCAAAAACCAGCAAGGGCAAAGGCGAACTAACTTCACATGTCAAATCTCCAAACCGAAGCTTGACAAAAAGCACATACAATTGTTACGTGATAATCTTCAGCTCTATGCTGCCTAAGATCTAGGGTTTAAAGCAACCAAGGAGACCAAAATGGCAACATTTCTAAACCTGCTTAACAGAGAGTTCCAACCTGAACAAATTATATGTTCAGATATGGGAGGAATCATGGGTCTGTACACTAGCAACTCCCGGTGGTAGGTTGCAAAACCCCACAACTTAAAGCTCTTGCTAATACAGAAGAAGCTGTTGTCTTGCACCTGCATTATCTGCAGATGAGTCTGAGATTGCAAGACCATTTGAGGACACATATATATGCCATCTTCAAGAATGTTGGTCATATATATCAGCAGACAATGATTAGATTTGAGTTCTGATAAAAGTTTTTATATTGACACAATAGAAAAACAAGAAAGGTTATAGACATTTTGCACTGAATCTTATCCACAATAAAACCATAGAATAAAAGATTAAACAATCATGACCAGCGCTTTTTTCATCCTTCTCATCTGCGTTAACAGTCTGGTATTTATCATGGGAAAGAAAAAAGTTTTAAAAAAAGGGAACATGAAGGGCTGCAGCATGCTTCACCATGAACCACAAAGAAGTATGCAATACCAACCAAATGAAAATGGATGAACCTTATCTAGGTAATCAGTATCTCAGGAAACATAAGAGAATCCAAAATTCAGTTTAAACCATTTAACTGTGTTAAATTGAATTCTCTCAATCAAATGAGTATGTTTATAGCTCTAATAAAAAAATTTGCTTCAACAACAAGAGTATATATGAAGTCATAAACTTTTGCTTTCCTACATCCACTCGCAAATATTATAGATTTCAAACACTTGAGAGAGAGAGAGAGAGAGAGAGAGAGAGATGAT